CCTGAGCTGAAAAATGGCTTCCTAACACAATTCAGCTTCCTAAAGCAGTGGAAAACTAGAGGAGCAAAACAAAGAAAATAGTGTTAATAATTGGTAGGTTGATTGCTGGGAGACAGTGGAGAAGGAAAAAGGACCTCCCAGTTCTGTCAGTGATAAGGTGCTAAGTACTCCTACCTGTAATGGGAAGCTGCACCCTCAGAGCTGCTTCTTAGACCAGGTTGTGTCTATACTTGATACTAGTCTTCAGGATTTTCTTCAAATTCTGTGGCTATCAAATTGCAGAACGTATGTTGCCTTAGCCATACAGACACATTTCTAACTCGAGACATCCTTATGTCTGAATCCTCTTATCCCATACAGAACTAGGGAAGGAATCCAAAATTTGCTAGTAGAATAAACCAGCCCATGCATCACAGCAGGTTGTAGTCAAAGAAGGTGTTTAGTAGGTCACTTGTGCGTATGTGCTGCTATCACAGAAAACACAGGCCAGGCATGCTGTGCCAGCTGTGGTTCAATAGCTCATGACCTGTAGAAGGTTCACTGAGCTGATATTGAAGTTTCATGCACATTCACTCTTTTAACCTGTGTTGAACGCTCCTGCTCTGTCTGGCAGAATTCCTGAAGCAGAAGATGCTCTGGGAAATGTTCTTCTTCAGGGCAGGCAATATTTAGCTCTTAATTTTTTATGTAACCAGAAACCATATGTCTCAATTTCTGGTTTACAATCATATCCTTGTCTTAGACCTAAATTTATCTATGTTCCACACCAGCCTCACTTGCTGTTATTTGCTATATTTAATTCCCTATTATTATGTGAAATTATTTCTGCTAGGAATGCTGAATTGTGTCACTGAGGTTAGAGACAATGTTGCTTGTACTAGAGAAATGAATCCCAGATTACCTTAAGTTTCCCACACTGTTATTTTATGTTCTGTATCTTGTTAGCAATCTGAAAGTGATGCTGGAAATTTAGAGGTATTTTATCTATTTAGCTTTCTTAATTGAATAAACACAACAGCATTTATAGGCGGTGACAGCAATGAGTAGCTCAGCTTGAATTATTACTTTGTAAGTACTAACAGTATCTTTAATTCAATAGTTGTCAGTGATAAACACAGTGCCTATTCTGAGTAGAGAGACAGCCTCATTTTATGATCCTGATACCAGATCCATGTGGATAGATCTTTATCTTGTCCAGAATTGCAGTAAAGCTAGTAGAGATCTGCAGGGGCCAGTCTGATGGCAGGCTGGATGCCTGGAAGATAGGTGGGCAGCACAAGGAGAGATCAACAGGCTGCAACACCCTGCCATTCATTTTGTGCAGTGTTTGGGCAAATGCAAGTGTCTGGATCCTGTGCTAGGCTGAAGCTCCCAGCCCAGTGCTCAGGTGTGGTGGGCCAGAGACCTGCAGGAGGGCTGCCCCAAGGCAGCCAGGCTGGCTGGCAGTTATGAGGATCCCACCAGCCCTCCTCATCCCAGTTCCATGATAAGAAGTCAAATACCCCCCCACCAGTCTCACTTCAGTCTCTTGTTCTGAAACATTCCTAGGAGATCCCTGCCAAACATGCGGCTTATGGCTGAAAATATCAGCATGCAGCAAAACATACCCCTAAAGCAAGAATTTCTCAAGCGTTTTCGAAGAGGCCTGACTGAACCAACAAACACTCCCAGTCATCTCCCAGCTCTAAGTCACAGTTTGATACTTTCTTCTCATTATTTGTTTTTAGTCCATTAGAGTTCTCATCCATGAATTGCTCTCTTGAATGTTTTTAATTAACAAAACTAAATTTTGGCTAATACTGGATTTTTTCAATCCAAGTAAACCAGCTTAAAGTAAAAAATAAGCTGAAGCTCTGGCAAACACATTCAGGTCAGCCCTTCACTAGATAAATTGTGTAACTTTGGTAAGGCTAGTCTCAAAGATTGGATCACAGTGCATAATATATTAAAAAATATTGGGAGAATTCCAGTATCCAGTATTAAGTGGGTAGTTGTAATTCCTGCAGGATAAAGAATGATAAAGAAACAAAATGCTTTAATCCTCCACAAATTTGTCTAACATTTAATCTAGCTACTAACCATATGATATTTCCTTTCTCAAGCAGTCTTAATTTGTTCTTAATTCTACTAATTAGGAGTATAAAACTAAGGGAGAAAGTGGAAATCATCAGCAATTAAATTCATATTTCTTTGTAAAGCTAAAGCTCATAGGTGACATGCATATTCAGAGCTGTGCAGGAATCCTTAGCGTGGATCTATGCTTTCAGAATATTTCACATTCACACAGCAGGTCACATCGCAATCATCACACTAACACCATGCACGCCTGTAGCACCTTTCATCTGCTCATCTCAAATTTAATATTATTGAAGCCTTTAACAATCTGGAAGCAGAATTCCCTTATGAGGCATAATAAGGCAGTAACCGTCTTTTCTCTCTAGTGCTTCCCCCTCCTATAAACATCCTCTCTGTCTTCCCAGGTCCAGCTCCATCCAGCTGTTCTTCAGTTAGTCCCCTGTGTCAGCCAAGCCCCGGGGCTCAGGCAGAAGGTCGTGTCTGCATCTGATAGGAAAGGGATGCACAGCTGGCTGTTGTCTGTGTCTTGCTTTGGCTACAGATTCAACATTTGAACCAGAGAATCATCAGCTTTATGGATGATTTGCAGAGATAACCCAGTGCTTTGTGCTGTTGTTACCTGGGTGAAAGCTCTGTTGATGGCAGCACAGCACTCAGCCGTACAGCACTGCTTACAATGGTGTAGTGAGTGTTGTTCACTGCTAACCACATTGCAACAGTGTCTTCAGTGTCTTAAGCTAAATCATTCCAATTAAATTAAAGAGTGTACAAAAGGACTGCATTAATTTAACTAAACCCTGCTAACTTATGATCATTTCCTTACATGAAAAGATGGAATAGATGACCTTCCAACCCAAACCATTCTACGATTCTATGATTCTATATGGTCAAAGCTGCTGTCCTCTGCTATCACCTCCCCGTAGCGCACAGTCATCATCGCACCTGGGGCTCTTAAGCAGGATTAGTAAAATGGAAAGCGATGTTGCAGTGTACAGCACAGATAGTGTA